TACACCTATGAATCTCTGTTAGCTGTTGTGAACACACAATGAACATGGGAGTACAGATATCTTTTTATATTTGTTTTTATTTTCTTTAGATATATACCCAGGAATGGCTTCCTGGATCATAAGGTTGTTCCATTTTTCCTCTTTTGAGGAAACTGCAAACTGTGTTCCATAGTGGCTGCACCAATTTACATTCCCATCAACAGTGTACAAGGATTCCCATTATTGTTTGCTAATTCACATTATACTTAAAAATTTTTATATAAAGTTTCAATCTACACATTTAAAAAATTGTTTCCACTTCTTTTCACACTCTTCTAATTTCTTTGACATCTTCAGCTATATTCCCTGGACAGCAGAGACATCACCCCGCTGACAAACGTCCAAAAAGTCAAAGCTGTGGTTCCTCCAGTCGTCATGTACAGATGTGAGAGCCAGACCACAAAGAAGGCTGAACACTGAATAATTGATGCCCCTAATTGTGGTGTTGGAACTCTTGAGATTCCCTTGGACTTCAAGGAGAGCAAAGCAGTCAATCCTAAAAGAAATCAATCCTAAATATTCATTGGAAGGATTACTGCTAAAGCTGAAGCTCCAACATGCCAGCCATCCAATGCAAAGGGTCAACTCACTGGAAAAAAACAATGAGTATGACCATATGGTCAAAGCTGTGCTTTTTCCAGTGGTCATGTGCTTTTTTTCCAGTGGGACGTGAGAGTTGGACTGTGGAAAATGCTTAGTGTCAAAGAATTGATGCTTTTGAATTGTGGTACTGGGGAAGACTCTTGTAAGTCCCTTGGACTGCAGGGAGATTGAACCAGTCAATCCTAAGGGAAGTCAACCCTGAATATTCATTGGAAAGACTGATGCTGAAGCTGAAGCTCCAATGCTTAGGCCACCTGCTGTGAAAAGTTGACTCACTGGAAATGACCCTGATTCTGGGAAAGATTGAGGGCAGGAGAAGAGGGCAACAGAGGATGAGATAGTTGGATGGCATCAGTGACTCAATGGACATGAGTTTGAACAAACTCCGGGAGATGGTGAAGGACAGGGAAGCCTGGTGTGCTGCAGTCTATGGGGTTGCAAAGAGTTGAACACGACTGAGTGACTGAACAACAACCATAACAAAGCCCTTTGGAAAAACAACCTGTTACCTTACTTACAGGGGGCCCAGCAGCCTTACCAGGTAAATAAGAAAGGTTACTTCCTTGAAGGCCAAGAACCTCAAAATATTTTGAGGACCCCAAGCAGAGGGGTATTCACCTGATCTATATGTATATGTATATATATACATATATATATATACACATATAAATAGTACAGGCAGATCTGATGACAAGTCTTTGGTATGACTTTTCTGATCTTGAGAGGCCTTTTATTAAAATTCAATCTGAGATTCCTTATGGAAGGTTCCAGCAGAGCCAACTTAAAAAAGCCTGCATGATTAGTTATGCAAATAATCAGGCAAAATTTACTGAAACCAGACTTCTTTTGCAAACAAGTTAGTCTTCATTTCATTTGGGTATATTTTGCAGAAATGAAGGTAATTTTAGAGAGAAAATGATTGTTTCTGTGAATTCTGAGTTCTAATGTTGTTAATTGTCTTTGAGGTTTTGTATTTACTGCCCAAGACTCACTTCATGGATATCCTTGTTACTATGTTGCATTGTGACAAAAGTTTAGTCCAGTTATTAAAAAGATATACTAAGATTGTTTCTGAAGCTTATCACATGGATCTATTTTTGAATGAAGACTGGGTGACCTATGGCCTACACCCAGGAGATAATGTATAATATAAAAGAGATCATTGAAATGACTCTCTCCAACCTAGATTAAAGGACCCTTGTCAGATTCTCTTAATTAACTCTTGCACAGCCTTACTTACTTATTTACTTAAGTAGTGGCTCAGTCCTGTCTGACTCTATGTGACCCCATGGACTGTAGCCTACCAGGCTCCTCTGTTCATGGGATTTTCCAGGCAAGAGTACTGGAGTGCGTTGTCATTTCCTTCTCCAGGGGATCTTCCTGACCCAGGGGTAGAACCCAGGTCTCCCACATTGCAGGCAGACACTTTATCATCTGAGCCACCAGGGAAGCCCCAGTTATGCACAGCATAACTGAAGAGAATTGATTCTTGGATTCCTATTTCCCACTTAGAAAGGGACCCTGCACTGGACTTGTCAATAGAGAGGACTGCTGACCTCAAACTCACCTTAAAATAATACTCAGAGGAGAAACTACTTCCACCCCAGGATAAGAAGAAGACATTAGAAGAAGATAGCTTTGCCCAGATGCTGGATCTGACCCACATGATTATTTATAGTGTTTTTTTTTCATTTCTTTGACTTTTGCACATAACTCAAATGTTTTTCTATCAGGGGCACAAGTCCCATGTAGATTTTAAAAATTAATCCAATTGTTGGATTTATGGTCAATTACCTACATCAAGAACTTCTTGGTGCGTTTCTCTAAGGCTCTAATTGGACAACCCTTAGAAAAATTACTCTAGAAGAAATAAGTTATATTTCTGTTTGAGCCACTTTTGATATTGCTAGATTGGAGGCCTTCACTTGGACAACCAATCATACTTGTTCTGACCATGGTCATAAATATGAATTACTTAAATCTTCCTTAATCACCCTTGTTTACTGTTGCTTTTCCTGGTAACCTCCCAAAACTGACTCTCCCCACCCTCAAAATCCTATTTTGTCTTTAGCTGAGGATGATATTTAAGGTGATGGTTTTGGCCATTTTGGTGAGTTACCAGTTTTTCTGGGTCTCTTCCCAGAAATGTTATTAAACCTTGTTTGATTTTCTCCTGTTAATCTTTCTCCTGTCAATTTAATTCTTAGATAAGCCAGAAGAATGTAGATGAATAGAGGAAAATTTCTTCCTCCCTGACAGTAGCCTTCAAATCCATTCAGTACCTTGGGGGTGGGAGGGGAGGATAGCTCTTTGTCAACTCTTTTTTTTTAAGTAACACATAACACATGTATATAGTAAAAATTTCAAACTGGATGAAAGTTCATACAATGAATAGCCTTCCCTTGAAAGTCAATAAACAATCCCTCCCACTTTATTGCCAATCCACCAGTTTCTCCCTCAGAGGCAACCACTGTTACCAGTTTCTTTGTAGCCATTGGGACATAGTCTGAATATTCAAATACATGGATATACATTCCCTTCTATTTTTTTACAGAGATGATAGCATACCATGTAAACTGTTCTGCACCTTGTTTTTTAATATTAAAATTTATTTTCTTCCAAAATTTTGTCCTAATGAAATAAGCTGCTTCCTTTTTGAGTTAATTTTGACCATTTCTTCAGGAAACTGCCTGTTTCCTCAATATTTTCCAGTTGTTTTCAGAGTTAGAACAACTAACAAAGTTCTTCATACCCATTGGTCTGTTAATCCCACTTCCACCACTTAGAAAGTTTCTAAGCAATTTGGGCCAAGTCCTGTGACTCCTGATGTAGGGTAAATGTTCACAGTGTAACAGAGGGTAATGAATGTAGCATATTAAAGAGTAATGAATCAGTTTGGAAATTTTGTTAAGATATAGTTGCAATTAAGAAGATAAAACAATTACTATTTTGGGAGTGTAGCCCTATGCCACCCCCTTCCTCTTCAACTTTCTTTCCTGAATTTCTCTCTTCATTGCATATTATCTCACATTCAACTTGTACCCTATTAGTTAAATGAGGAACACTGGCATTTTTAGACTGAAATAACACCTAGGTAAGCCAAACACTGACTTTCTCAACAATTGTTGTATGGCCTGTCCTCCTCTTAAGCCAGAACCAAGGCCATCTTGAAATCAGTGGCAAAGAGGCCGAGAGATAAGGTTAGGTGTTATAGTTGTGGTTTTCAGTTGGGGAGAGATAACTAACTTTGGAGGTTGGCAAGGAAACAGAAAAGGTTATTAAAGGCCTCAGGGAAGCCAGAAGGGACTTGGTAACCTGATAAGAGTGCTGAGGTCAGGACAGGGTAGGGATGGCATTGGGAGTGAGAATGGTACTGGCAGGGATGGTGGAGGAGGTATGGGAGGCTGAAGCTGGGCCTGGGGAATTGTACATAATATTCTCTTGTAACATTTTTTTAAAGTTTCATATCTACTGGCCTAATTTTTAATATTATTCCCATCAGTATTTGCCCAAGTACTGAAAATGTGCTTGGTCCTACAAGGTGAATTATAAGAATATTTAAACAAAACAGAACAACACACACACCCCTCATTAGTTTGGGAATTTCATCACACTACAGCCACATTCTTTTATGTTTACTACTTGTGTGCTTTCCTAGATGGCCCCCCCAAAATAAAACTCCCTATTTCACATCATCCCCTACCCTGTTTGTTAAAAGTGGAAAACTAGTATTTACTTGCCCCAAGAGGCACTCTAGCGTATTGCTCACATCAACAATGGATGCCTGATCTCATTTTAGCCTGGGGCGAGGTGAACTGGAGTCTGAAACACTGAGAAAATCCCGAGATGAGACAGAAAAAGAGATAGGGACATGTAGGTGTATTCTTTAAAAAGTTACTTTAATATTCACCCTCTTTCAGCCTGGAACATCTTCAGTATTTGCCCCAGATCGCTTAGGGCCAACAGTAGAAGGAGCAGTTGGTAGGGAAAGCTTCATCCTTTTATTCAGCAGCTGGGAAACAGCCGCCCAGCCGCTGGGGGAGGGGCAGGGTTTTTCCCTAAAGTGCAGTTGTGGTGTGAGGTTGGGGGCGGCACACCGAGCCTCCGCCTGAGAGCCGGAAGCAGGCGCTGGAGGGGGAGTGGCGCTGAGCTGGGGGAGGAGTGAGAGAAGGAAGCAGCAGTCTTTTGGCATACGGAGCCAGCTGAAAATCAGGGTTGAATGTTAAAAAGGGAGCGTACTTAGCGACACTCTTGGCCCCGAAGAATGGAACTGAGGCGACACGAACCGCCTGTCCGACACCCAGAAGACGAGAGACCAGTGCCAGGGCCGTCAGCAGCTGTTAGGCGCTTTTTGGTGACGCAGCCGCCGCGCGCAGACTTGGTGACGGGCCACGGAATTCCACGTCTCAGGTTCCGCAAAGGCCTGTGGGAGCGACCGGTAGGAGGGCCAGGATGGCAGAAGCGGTGGAGTCTCCAGGAGACCCGGGAACAACAACGCCCAGGCCCCTGGTGAGCTTGGGATCTGCGACAAAGGGGACCGAGGGTGAGGCAAAGTGCCCCTTAAGGAAGTAGGATGACGGGCTTGTACTTGAGAGTACTGCAATTCTTCCTCCCGACAGGCCCTTCGTGTATCAGATGCCAGATCCAGTCCCAACCCTCTACCTGTTCTTTGGGCTAACTGCCCCCCCATCCCCCTCGCCGCCGCCCCTCTCCTTCTTTACACGCCTTCTTGTGAAACTCTCATTCACTTTCCTTTCGCAGGCTCTCACCACTTGTCCTCCTCCCCTTCATTTTGTTAAATGCTGAGCTTTAGGCGATTTAAGTATTTGCATCTGCTGTCCCCTATTTTATCGAGACTTGTCACTAGTCCTCGATGGAGTAGCAGCATTCTAAGATTAATGAGAGATTGATTCTCATGGGACATTATAACTTGATTATTTATTTGCTCAATGAACCCCAATCGTCCTGTTTTAATCCCTACCCTCCCTTGTCACAGCTCCTTGCAGTCCTCTTCATGATGATCTCTTGCGCCTGTCTTTGCAGAGGACAGAATTTCTATTGCAAGTACTACAAGTCCAAAGCCTGGACATGTATTTAAGAACACAGGGTTTGGAGTTAAAGTTACTTGGCCTGGAATCACCCATTCTGGCACTTGTGTGAATTTGGGCAAGTCATTTAATGGAGAGTATTTCTTCATGTGTAAAATGGAGATAAAAATACCTGCCTCAAAGTGTTTTTAGGAAGTTGAAATGACATAATTTATGTGAAGTGTCTAATAAAGTTAGTACCATAACTGAGTAGTGTCAACTCAACATTCTACCCCCCATCCCACCTCCCAAACAACGTTTAGTCATGTCCCAAATAGTGTTTATGAGTAGGTGCTCAATAAATGGTACATTCCTTTTCTCTGTTTTAAATTGTCAACATAGTAGAGGACTGACCTGGGAGTCAGGTGAAACTGATTCTGGTTATGGTTCTGCTTACTAGCTTTATTTGTTCATCTCTTCATTCTTTTGACAAATATTTATTGAGCATCCACTATGATCCAGGCACTCTTTTAGACATGGTGGATACAACAGTGAAAGAGAGTGAGTAGGTCCAAGTTCTCATGGAGTACTTGTGACCTTGAGGAAATCACTCTGAACCCGTTTTGCCTTTTGGAAAATGATAGTAAGTCACCACAGAGTCAGAGTACTGAATGAACTAATATAAGCATAGGGTATGGTATGCCATAGTTACAGGTGTTTAGATGTTTTTAGTTCCTGTTTTTCATCTAAACTGCCCCACTTCTCTTTTATGAAGCTTTCCCCCAATTAATTTTAGTGGTTCTGATTACTCATTACTCAGTATTTAATACACTTCTATTCAGCAGTGTTTGTTGAACTCCCACAAAGTGTAATACACTATGCTAGTTGCTTTAAGAAATACAAATGGCCTGTCCTTATGGTGCTTACAGTCTGATTTTAGACATAAGACAAACATACAATGCTAACATAAGACAGTATGTAAGAAAGTTACAAATAACATTTTAACATAATTTAAAAGATGCTATCATGTCTTGTTGAGGTGATGAAGCAGGCAACATGGTAGAAGTTATATTTGAGGGAGCTTCAAAGGATGGGTAGGATGTGAGCATAAGAGCTATGAATGATTGACTACCTGATATGTGCCAGGATTGTGCTAGACATCCTTTGCATATTTTATAAACTTTACAGCAACTATTTCAGTTAGGTGGTTTTTAGACTATGTTTTACTTGTACGTGAGGAGATGAGATTCAGAGAGATTTGATTTCCCTAGGGTGACCAGGCTGAAATTTGAACCTGGGTCTGCTTCTGAAACCAAGACTATTACTATTGATGCTACACAGACTCTCATCGAAGATACAGAGGTTAGGAGATACTAATGTATTTGTAGAACAACAGAGAGGTTACTTTAGTTGAAGCACAGGGAAGTATTAGAAAAGAAGCCTTAAAAGATAAAGCTACTGAAGTAGAGAAGCAGTATAGAACAGTGGCTTTGTGTGCTCTGGGAGTCAAATTGTCTAGGTTTGGTTCTATGCTCTGTTATTTAACTAGCTGTGGGATATTGGGGAAATTACCAAAATCTCTCCATGTCTCAGTTTCCCTATCTGTAAAATGGAGATAAAGTAATACAGGGTTGTTCTGTGGATTGAATAAGTTAATACACATAAAACACTTAGTAGAGTGCCTGGCACATAATAATCATGCAATAAGTGTTATTTCCTTTTATTGATTACTATGCTGGGAGGTTTAACAGGCAATGAGTCAGTGGAAATTTTTGAGGAGGGAAGGGTTTTAAATCATGAATTTGACAGCATAACAAAGAAAAAGTTACCATGGGAAATGTGTGGAATCTAGAATACCAGTGCAATTGTTGCAGTAGTTCTGGGATGAAGTGATGGCTACCTGGATTATAGCAGCGGTAGATGTGAAGATTTGAGAAAGGCAGAATCCTCGAGGATTTGCAGTGCTAGGGAGAATGTGTCTTAGTGTTTTTCAAACTTTAACATGCTAGCAATCATCTAGGGAATCTTATTAAATTGCAGATTCTCTTTTAGTAGGTCTGAGATGAGGCCTAAGATTCTGCGTTTCTAATAAGCTCCCAGATGGTGCTGCTGCTCCCAATATCACATTTTGAAAAACAAGACTATAGATAAATGGGAGGAAAGTGATACCCTAAACAGAAATACAGAAGAGGATGAGGGCCTTAAATGTTGATTCATTCACTTTTGGAAGTGTTTAGTTCCAGATATTGGCAGACCATCCAATAGATATCCAGCAGGTAGTTGGACACTAAAATCTGGACTTCAGGGCTCACAAGAGGTCAGGACTAGAGAGACTGATTTGGAATCATCTGTATAGAGTTGAGAATATAGAATCTTGGGTAATGCTTATCTATTGCCTATCTGTTTAAGGAGCAGAAAAAAGAGCCATAATAATCACTGTAGCCTAGGGTCTGGAAGGATGTTGGTCCCAGGTGGACCATGCCACTAAGCCCCTTTCCGCCTACTTGGACCAAGTTGTTTCCTGCTTGATTTCATCCGCCCCAGCCCACTTGTTGACCTTGTTGACTTCTTTTTCTCTTCAGAATTTTGTCCAGTAGTATGACCCATCTCCTCCCAACTGCTTTCTTAAGGCTGCAGTCCCCACATTTATTGTGTGTTTTTGGCCCTGCCTTTACTTGCTCCCCTCATTGGCCCAAGCCAGGCAGCAAAGTGTGCACATGTGTTTATACACATATGTATGTATGTGCACAAGCCTGCCAGCACAGAGGAAGGGGAAGGACCTGAGGTCCAAGTCACCTTTCATCCTCACCAAGGGGCTAGTCAGAGAGCAAGGTCCGGTAGCTGGGGGCCTGGTAGCACTGTCTCATATGGGGCTGGAGAGCTTCATATCCTGGCTCAGTTCACTGAGCAATGTTACTGATTTGCTGGAGAAGAGATATTGAGGAAGGGTTGGGATGAGGGGTGAGTGGAAATCACATGGCACTTTTGTGACTACAGTCACTTCCAAAACCAAGTAACTGGAGTTAGGCCAAACTTCCCCAGTTAAGGGCCCAGTCTTCCAAAAGATTGGCCACTTCGTATACCAGCCACAGGTTTGGAGGTTCCCAGGACCACCCTCACTTCTGAACTACTGCCTACAAGTTCAAGGGTTCCTATGGTCAGGCTCTGTAATTCACTAGAATGACTCACAGAACTCAGGACAATGGTATACTTAAAATTACACTTTTATTACAGCAAAACGGTACAATCCAAACCAGCAAGAGATGGGGATGTGTAGGTTGAGGTCTGAGATAGTTTGTAACACAAAGCTTCCTTGTCTTCTCTCTGGGGAGTAAAGGCAGGACCTTGTCACCCTCCTGATACGTTGATGTATGACAGACAGTAGGTAGAATATTGCCAACCAGGGAAGCTCACCCACATACCTAGAGTTTTTATTGAGGTTTCATTACATAGGTGTGATTGACTGGATCGTTTTTTCTTCCACTCCCAAGAGACCAGGTTTGTATCACAGTACTCAAGTGAAGCCGCTCAGTCGTGTCCAACTCTTTGTGACCCCATGGACTGAAGCCTACCAGGCTCCTCAATCCATGGAATTTTCCAGGCAAGAGTACTGGAGTGGGTTGCCATTTCCTTCTCCAGGGGATCTTCCCAACCCAGGAATCGAACCCAGGTCTCCCACATTACAGGCAGACACTTTACCATCTCAGCCACCAGGGAAGTCCTCACAGTACTCAAACTTAACCTCAGTCCTCTAATCTTACATTTGATCTTTTAGGAGTGGTTAGCCCCTATGCTGAGTCATCCATTAGCATAAAGTAAGGATCTACCAGGACTCACTTGTTAGCTAAACCGTTAAGGCTCATTATGAATAACGAAAACATTACTATCCTTTAGGAAAACCCAAGAGTTTAGAGTCTGCCTTCCAGGAACAGGAAACAAAGGTTAGCCAAATACTTTATTCTACAACAGTGACAGAACCTGAATTGACTCCCTGGGACCCTGAGCTCCTAATGTTTATTTAGTCCTTGCTGTGAGCCTGCTACTTAAGTGCTTTACTTCTATTAGTGTATTTCTTCCTCAGGACAACCTTGTGATGATGGTACCATAATCTCAATTTTACAGATGAGGAAACTGAGGCACAGAGAGGAAAAGGAACCTGCTCATTGTCACACGGGTAGTAAATGAAGAAGTTAGGATTTGAACTCTTGCAGCCTCCAGGAGAATTGCACCCTTAACCAAGTCTGTCCACATGCCACATGTTGAGCATTGATTTTGTGCTACATGACTTGCAGGTGTTACCTAATTCTTATAGCAATGTTGTTTCCAAGGAAGGGCCATTCGGCTTCAAAGCCCATTCGTTCTGCTCTGCCCTGCCTACCCTAGCTGTAGCAGGCAACAAGAAAACTCAAAACACGAAATCCTGGAGTTTGAAAGGACGGTGTCATAGTAGTGAAGAGAGAATAATGACTTCAAAATGGGGTG